AATTAACTCACTTTTGACCTTGTTTGAATTAATGTAACATTCAACCTTGTCCGAATTAATGTAACATTCGACCTCGCTCGAATTAACACATTCGAACTTGTTCAAATTAATGTATTATTCGACCTCGCTCGAATTAACACGTTCAACCTTGTTCAAATTAATTAGTGACATTCAACCTCGTTCGAATTAATACGTTTGACCTCATTCGAATTAGTAAAGAATCATATTTGACCACATTCGAATTCAACTCATACTTAACCTGACTTGAGTTTGATTAACAAGTTAACTTCGTTTGAGTTAAGTACGATGACATGGGACTTCACCCAGATTCAATCAAAGATATACTCGACCATGTTCGAGATAGCACATGCCAACACAGTTCTTCTAAAGCAACTATTTGAAGAAAAACATTCGAAGAAAAATAAAAAGACCCAATAACGTACAGCAAAGGGTTGTGATCATTCCATTCCAAAAAGTATCTTACAAAGGGCCACAAATATGCCCACAAAAAAAAGAAGACAAAAACTAAGTACAAAGTACCACTCCATGTCGTCCCCACCTTCATCGCTGGCGCCTTCACCACCCAACCCAGCAGCGCCGTCTCCGCCATTGCCTTGAGGATATTCATCTTCGTACCAGGCATCTTGCTCAAGATCGTCCAATTCTTCCTCCTCCTCGCCGATGCCGGCCCCTGGAGTAGCTGGGTCAAAACCACAAGCAATTCTAGCCGCACACGCCTTGACACGAGCATCTTCAAAATCAGCCTCAGGAACCTTCCCCATCGTCATCAAATTCTTGAGAATGTCCAGCTGATCCTCGACGTGGATCCACATCTCGTATAAGTGCCACAAAATATTAAGAAAAGCAGAAATATGAGAGGATGGCCGGGCCAACAGTTACGCCTTCTCGGCCTCAAGAGCAACGACTTGATCACTAAGGCTCGAAACCTCTCTCTCGAGCCCACCAATTCGCTCATCAAGCCATGCGTCCTTGAGCGCGGTCGTTTCCGCTTCGCTCGCTTGTTCAGATCTAAGGACGCGGATGACCTCCTCCAATGTCGCCACTCTCGCCAAAGCCGTTGTCCTAGCCTCCCCGATCCTCTCCAACTCTGCCACTTTCTCGATCAACTCATCACTTAAGTCGTTAGCTCTGATCGAACTCTGCTCAAGCTCGGCTCGCAGGGACGCCACTTGAGCTTGAAAGTCGACACACTCATCCGCGACCTCCTTGATCACCTCGAGCTCGTCCTTCTTGGCTCTAAGCACCCCCTCGAGCTCGGTGCACCTGTCAATGACCCTCACAAGCTCATCGTCCTTCTACCCCAACTCATCTCTAAGGGATTGGAAATTACCGTTCGTGCTGAACTGGGCACGCATGTCATGGTACTTATCACAATACTTGTAATACTTTAAAACCATTTTCTTGAATACAACCTTCCGTTTCTCCTCTTAGCAGGCGCTCTCGATCTCCAAAATGAGAGTCTAAGGGAAAAAATAAAGATCCAAAAAGAGTCAGTAAAAATAGAAAGGGGGAAGGACGCAAAGTACAAAAACAATAAAAAGGAAAACACTCGCCCTCAGAGCCATTCTAGATATGCCTAACAACAGATCGACATCCTTAAATGACTGTAGAGTCCTGTTCTCGGCGCTAGAGCAAAGAGGGACCAAAGAAGGGACCACTTTCTCTGTGTTAGTCAACAAGTCGCAGTCCAAAGGGATGACTATCGAACAAGAAGATCCATTCGTTCTTACCTCGACCTGGGTAAACCTCTCGTCGAACATCCTCTCTTCTTCGGGGTCAACATTGGCCTCTGATAGGCCTTCTCCTTCCACAAAAGCAATCTCCACATTTGAAGGGGGCACAGTCTCTGCGTCCATAGACACACCGCTCTCCGGTACGACCACGGCCCGCTCGGGGTCGCCCTCCGCTGGCTCTTCGTTCTCTATCACCTCGTTGCCAATCACTATTCTCCGCCTTTTTAGTAGAACCGCTTCCTCCTCACACTAAGACAACTCGTCCACTAAATGCAAAATTAGAGAAGTTGGAGTCTCCGGTGATGAGGCAGCAGCCCGACGGCTAGGCCTTCGCAGAGCTGGTGTCCGGGAAAAAACAATAATCTGAATGGACTCGCCTGCAGTCGCAGCAGGAAGTGACCCGGTTGAGGCACCCGACTGACAAAAAGCGGAAGTAGGAGCCCTCGTCCTCCTCGGAGCCCTACTACCTATCAATAAAGAAATACAGGGTGAAGTAAAAAAGAAAACGATATATGAAGGGCGAAGGAACTAATATTGAAACCAGTACTCATGGGTCGGAGAAGGTTTACATCCAAACTTCTTATTAGAATGCGACCACTCACGGATCCCCACTGTGTGTGGTAGAATTTGGCTCACCCAGTCGCGAATGTCGGCGACCAACATGGGAGGATCCTTCTCGGTTGCGTATAAAGGGAAGAATGATTAAGACACCAAAGAGAAAACAAACAACCAGTTAGCAAAAACACTTACGAGCAAAGTTCCACTCCTCGGGAAACCGTTGGGGTTCGCCACCACGTGCTCTGTCCTCGCGTAGAAGAAATTAACCCAAAACTGACGATTTGTCTTATCGTCCATCTTCACCACCAATCCCTTGGTCCCACGGTGGCAGAGGTGTATCATCGTACCCCTATGAAAACTTGGGGCGTAGAGGTATAGCAGATGGCGAAGAGAGATCCCGCGGTTGGCTAGCTCCGTGTACTTTGTCAGCATAAGGAACAATTTATAGATATACGGGGAAAGCTGGGCCAGGAAGACGCCATAATAGTGACAAAAGTCCTCCGCCAATGAAGGAAGAGGAAGTGAATAACCCACGATGAATAGATACGCATAGAATGTGCAGTATTCAGGGCGATGAACTTGTACCACATCGTTACCAGCCGAGATAAGATCGATATGGTCTGGGATTCAGAATTCAGCCCTAAGTTCAACAAGGGTCGTCACATCCATCTCAGAAATAACACATTCGGGATCTTCTTCGGGCCATTACGAGAAGTCCGACCTAGCCCTCTCTAAGCATGGGATTATTTTATCCACAGCGGGGAAACTCTCATCTTCTACAGCAATGGCCTCCACTTTCGTCATGAGGAGGCATGGCCACCGTCAATGGAACAAGATCAGAAGTTCCCTCAAGGTTAGAAGATGCACTAGCCATTCTTTATCATGTATATGGGAAGGAATTGCAGATACGAAAGGGGAGATAAAGGCAGAAGATGTTAGAAGAAAGGGGAAATAAGGATGCTAGAGCTCTGAAGAAAGGAAGGAAAAACTTGAAGATTCAAATGCTTAGAAATGCAACAAAACCAAATGGAGAGTTCCCATCCCTATTTATAAGTATACAGGCACCCTAATCGAGGATGCAAAGCGCTGCCACATTAATTTCGAAATGAAAGGGGCGCGGGAAACGATGCAACGCATCGGGAACATGCGCCATAATGACACATGAGGTTATGACGTCATTTCAAACTGACGTAATGGGCGGATGTGGCTCTTGAAGCGCCATGTCGTCACCACACTATAAAAATGTTACTACTCGACCTACACGCCCAAATTTCTCAAATTGTAACTAGTGAAGTCTGCCCACCGAGCTCGTCCAAAAACAACCTCGACAGGTGGAGGGACTAACTATATGGGTCAGAATCTGACTAAGGGAACCTGGAACAAGGATAAGTTACTAAAAGGCGATTAGGCCGAGGTCATACACACGATTAAAGGAACTTACTGGCGAGCTGTTAATCAGGGCCAAGGTCGAATATTCAAGTCTGCAAATAACAGCTAGTTCTATAATAAGGTATCTAGGAGAATATTCCATTGGATATTCTCTATACCTGTATTTTAGGGTAGGTTGGAGGCATGTCTCGTATAAATAGAAAGGTAGAAGAAGAAAAATGTATGTAATATTCTATATGATAAGAACTCTCTTGAAAAGTTGACTCTCAGGAAAAATACAAACATTAGCTTTCCAAAGAGATTCGATTTGGTGTTTATTCCACATTTCTCGCATCAAATCTCAGAAAACCTCCTATATTCTCTCATATTCTTGTCTTACATCATTGTCAGAAAGAGGAACCATCCACCTCATTCAATATAGGGTGAATCATTCTCTCTATTTACATGCATTGCCATTTAGCATATTTATTGCTTATCACTATTCCCCACTCATTAATAACAACATCATTTAATATACATTGTATTAAATCGGTTTTAATGCACTCCCACATTATTTGTACAAACATTCTTCAAATCTAGAAATTATTATATTTAACTAGAATTTACCCTTTATCTTCTTATTTAATTAGTTTTACAAAAGGTCTCATACTTTTTGGTCAAACAATAATCTCTTTCCAATCAACACAAGAAGACATTTAGTTCTGTGGTAATTTTGCTTTGTTTCCGAGAGAAATAAAGTGGACTTAGGAGCAATTTTCCGATTGAGATTTGATTCCGTTGCGTTAACAGATACAAATTAATGCCCCTGTTGCTGTGTTTTTGTTTTCACATCTAATGTAGGTGTTGCTGACACATCTAACCAGAGAAATGACGAATGTTATTTAGTGTTTCTTTACCGCTATACTTAATAATGCAAGAAAGCAGGACTCATGTGTTCATTATATTGTATTACAACGAAAATTTTATATGCTCAACAAATAGTTCTTTTATAACATATGTTTCTTTTAATTTAATCTCATTACATATTAAAAATATCTAAGTGAAGGTAAATACGCAATTACTCAATTCACAAGTTCATACCCCAATCAAATTGCATTCAACTCGTCGTTTCATATTTTGAGCTTATATTTTTCATTTAAATATTATCTCACACATATTTTAATAATATTTATGTTATTTTAAAAGTTTGTACAACTTAATATAGGGTATACGTGTAAGACACGCGTCCAAAAACTAGTAAAAATAAAAAAAATTAAAATGAACCAAGTGTCTTGGTAAGGGGGGGGGGGGGGGGGGGAGTGTGCTAGTAGAAAGGGACCAATTGGAAGGGAAATAGCACAGAAAGATGGATCCTCCTCCTCCTCCTCATACGCAGACGAAAGAGTTGCCGACTAGTTGGCGAGGTGCCAAATTTATTTGGCGTGCTGTTCTCATCTTCAATCTCGGCCTCGGAGGTAAAACAATACCTCCCCACCCCCACCCAATATCTTTCTGACCCCTTGGGCTGCATTTTGTACATGGTATTATTGATTCTAGCCTTTCTGTTTGAATGGTGGAACTGGGTTTTGGATTATAATTTAGGGTTTTAACGTTTTTGAAGTTTCACAGCGGAAGAATGTTTTGCCACTTGACATTGTTATGTACTGTGCAAAGTATGGCACAGTTTTCTATGAGCTTAAATGCTTTTTTGGTCTTTTGATATGTAGCTAATCTGCTTGTTAGCACGACAATGAAAGAATCTTAGTAGAGTTTTGGGTTGCATTTTATTGTGCATAACATGTACTGGAGGATAAATAAGTATGGTAATATTTGATTTTGTAATGAAGATTCTTGCTTTGTGGAGATCCAATGTTTTATGACTTGGGAGATTGAAAGTTGACAAGCCCCAAGTGTTGCTGATTTCAGTTAAATTACGATCCTTTGTTTGCTAATACAGATTCTGATAAAGTAGTTTGGATGGAATAGTTGCTTCACTGGTCACTTTAAGTACCCATTTGTGCTTGTCGATATAAATGAGTTCTTCGCAATTACTGTTGCAGATTTAGAAATTGTTGGTGTTTCTGTTAAACTTTAATCTTACTATTGTCAATTATATTTCCCCCTAAATCGTGGAGTTGAGATATACTGTGATTTTGCTAGACTTATCGTCTTTAATTCTTTGTGTTTCTCTTTATCGTCTCTGTGTAAACATGTGTTTCATTGGGTACTTGATTCAATGATCAGAAATAGATAACGATTTTTAGGTCTGCTCCTATTATTATTGATGTGAATTAGGTCTTGCCTAATACTGTGTGCAAGAGAGACATGCAGCATTTAATCGAGGAAGAGGAGGTGATGGCACGAACTACCAATAAAAATATTTTGAATGGATAAACTGGGCACCAGTACTTATCGGTTCTATTTGCCGTCGGGCAATGGGTTACCATGAAGCAGTCTGAATACATAGGTAGCACATGACCTTATCTTAGTAAATGATGTAGATACAATGTGTAGTTATTATTTTGATGCGGGAAAAGCATTTTGATTGACTCAGTCTTTGTAATACTTGCTTCAAATGCTAATTTTTTCTCACTGTGGGAAAATCATTTTATGCATCATGCCATTATCATTCTTTACATGTTCTAATGACTCAGTTTCTGTGACTTTTTGAGAGATTGACAAATATTAGTACTTTACAGCCTACCTCTTTACAAGGCCCGCTAAGAAGGAAAGAAAGGCCAACATTGCACCACCTGTTATTCCAGCTGAGACTAGTACTCCCACTCCGCCTGCTCCTCAAAATTTTGAACCCATCTTTACTCCTATTCCAGAACCTGTGAAGGTACCAGAGCCCCTTTCTGTAGATCAGCAGCGCAGTGTTTTTGAATGGATGCTAGAAGAGAAGAGGAAGGTCAAACCTCAAAATCGAGAAGAAAAGAAGAGAATCAATGAAGAAAAAGCTCTATTGAAACAGTTCATACGAGCAGATTCCATTCCGAAGATCTGATGTAACGTAGATAATTGATCCAAAATTTTCTTAGGCTGAACTTAGTTTTACTGATCCATCATTTACAACTTGCCATTCTTTTTAGATCAGTTCGCCTTCAATCTAATTGATACTACTGCTTTTTGAGTAGGCNTGGGTGACAGATCGGCCATAGGAGTACTCCGGGATATAAACCAGGGCAACAAAAGTGGAGCATACGACGATGCCGCCCGTTTTCATTTCGTGGAAGTCCCCGGCAGAGGAAAGGGCTGTAGGTGATGGCGCGTTCTGCTTCTTATGACGAGAGGGGCGTCGAAATCCTTTCTATTGGTTCTTGCGTGGCAGCTGGTATAGATGATGAAAGGCGGGCCGCTTTTTCGGGACCTATTCTCTTAATAGGCGGCAAAGCGAAATAGGAAAGGGGCCGAGCTGACTGATGAGTGCCTTTTTAGCCTTTATTTAAAAGGCTCTCATGTGGAGCTAACATGGCTGGCTACATACAAGTATAGCCAAATCAAGATGAGATGGGACGGCCGTTCAGAGGCCGCAGCGGGACTACCATAGGATTAGATAATAGATGATATGTTACAGTAGAAACTCTTATTGCTGGTGAAAGAAATTAATGGAGTTCCATGATTGTTTCTCACTGTAGTTCATTAGATGGTCATTTGTGTTGGATATTTCATGAGTTGTCAAAATGTTTTTATCTGAACGTTAAAGTCCACAAACCCCAATACGCGGATGATCCTTCAAATAAAAAGCATTTGCATATGGTGTTATTGATTAATAAGTTCTTGCATGTCTGTTGTGGATATTGGAACTGGTTTTCGACAACACTTTAAGGTTTTTCCATATCTTGGATTTCTGTGCCGAATGTTTTGTACCTGACACTGTCATGTACTGTGCAAAATCTGTATGTGGATGGATCGTGATGTTCACAATACATAATTGGCCAGTCACTTTGATTTTTTTGGACATTGTCTCTTGTTTGGGTTTATAGGAGTAATAAGTTTAGCACAGTTATCTAAGAGCTTTAATGCTCTCTGTACTCTGGTACCTGCTCAATCTGCTTTTTTGAATGAGTGAAAGAATTTGAATAGGTGTTCTGGATATTGTTGCCAAGGTGTGTTTTATAGTTCATACCATGTATTTGAGGATAAATAAAGATAGTAATAGCTGAGTTGTGTGATATATTCCTGCTGTATGGAGAACCGATGTTTTATGATTTATGGGACTGAAAATTGACAAGCCCTAGTTTTGTTGATTTCAGATGATTCATGATACTTCTTTTGTAAATACAGATTCAGACAGAGTAGTTTGGACGGTGTAGTTGCTTCTCGCTATCCATTCAGAAACATGCATGTCTAGTATAACTACGTTCAGATTCTTTCTTGATTACAGAAGGAATTTGGGCCTTTAAGCTTTTAGGGGATTCAAGTTGAACTTCATCTTCTGAGCAGTCATTTAGTCTAGAAAATATAAGCATCACTCGTAACAGAAGTTCCTCTTTCTGCTTGTCTTTGTGGAATATGAATGAGTTCTTCATGATGAATATTTCAAATTTAGAGAATAAGTGGTGTTTCTGTTATATATTTTTTATCTTATTATGCTGAAGTTTTATTTTTAATCTGGAGTTGGAATTAACCAGTGATTTGCCAGACGCAACATCTCGAGTTCTTTGTGTTTCTCTTTCTTATCTATGTATAAGCATGTGTTTCATTGGGTTATTTGATTCAATGATCAGAATTTGATAACTATAGAGATAGAGGTTGAGTTCTGCTCCTATTGTTAATTAGGCCCTGCCTAGGACTGTGTACAGGAGCATACAGACGGATAGACATCTACTTGAGGAAGAGAGGTAATGGCACAAGTAATAACAACAACAAACCCAGTTTGATCCCAACAAGTGGGGTCTGGGGAGGGTAGTCTAGTCTGTACGCAGACCTTACCCCTACCTAATGCAGGTAGAGAGGATGTTTCCAATAGACCCTCGGCTCAGGAAGGGCAAGAAGAAGAAGAGGAAAGCAAGGGAGGAAGAAAGATGGAAGAGAGGTAATGGCACAAGTGATTAGTAAAATATTTGCATGAGGATAAAAGGACAGATGTACTTGTTGGTTCTACAACCATGCATCACTGTGCACATACATGTAACCACTTTTTTATATGACCTTATCTTAGTCTATGATGCAATACAATACTTAACCACCATCATTGTGTGGGGAAAACAATTTGATTGTCTCAATCTTTTGTAGTACTTGCTTCAAATGCTATTTTTTTTTCACTCAAGTGTAACTTTGTAGTTAAAATCTGGAGCCATGTGCTTAATAAAAACTCTATGTCGAGTACATCATGGAAGGTGTTGGTGAATTTGTTTTCTTATTTCTGGCTAGCATTTTGAAATGTTTCACTTAAATCCTTCATTCTTCAGATGTTTTAATAGCTCAGCTTCTGTGACTTGTAAAAAATTGATAGATGTTTTTACTTTTTCAGCTTACCTCTTTGCAAGGCCTGCTAAGAAAGGAAAGGAAAACTACCGCTAAACTACGCATTACTCCAAGTAAGACTACTACTCTCACTCTGCCCCCTTTCTGTAGAGCAGTAGCACAGTATTTCTGAATGGATGCTAGAAGAAAAGTGGAAGTTCAAACCTCAAGACCAAGAAGAAAAGAAAGAAAGTCACTAAAGAAAAATCTCTATTGAAGTAGTTCATATGAGCAGATTCCATCCTGAAGATCTGATACAAACCTGGCCGTTCATTTAATCCCATTTTTCGTCGGCTGAGATTAGTTTTACTGGTACACATTTACTACTTGGTATAATTTTCTTAAATTAGTTCACATTTGATCTAACTGATACTACTGCTGTTTTAGGAGGCAGTAATTGATGATAAATGATTTGATATAATAGATATTTTTTTTGTTAGTGGAGGAAATTAAATGGAGTTGCATTACTGATTTGTTTAGTGAAACGAACTTCTTGCCAACTGCTTTTCGGAAAATGGGGTCATTTGTGTTTTGATAATTCATGAGTTATCAAACTACCCTCCTCAGACCTCACTTGTGGGATTATATTAGTTTTGTTGTTGTATCACAAACCATCATTTGTATTTTGAGCTACATGGTTATCTATCCTCTATTGCGGTTGTGTGGAGACCATTGCAAGCTTGTCTTGTAGATATTGAAATCTTCGTATGCATAGGCTTTTGGCGAGGACATCAGCAATTTGATCTATTGAACTATTATACAGAGCTACCCAAGTTCTTAGATGCAACTATTTCAGAATAAACGTTGGTTTGCCTATGAAATAGGTTACCGACAAATTACCACAATTTCGGGGTGAAATTAAGAAATAGCCAGATTTACAAGTGGTAATTGAAAAATAGTCACAGTTTCAAAAGTAATTAAAATTCAGCAACTTTTCATGTAAAGATAAATCTGAACAAAAACACTATTCAAAATTCGAAAAAATAATTAGATGGCTTTCTTTTTCTCTCGGCGCACGTTAGGTGCTAACTAACCTGCGCCATCGCCGGAAATGGGAGGAAGAGGAAGATCAAAGAAAAGCACCAACACCAGTGGTAGAAAGGAAATTAATCGACATCATCACGCGAGAGCAAGGAAAACAAACATCAAAAGCTAAAGAGAAAATGCAAGAGGAATATTTAGATCCGGAAAGTGACAATGACCTAAATTGGCCAGATCTGGGTAGTGCTCGAACTAAATTGGCAACACCGGTGAGCCTAGTCACTCTCTTGACACTGTTGGTGAGTTCTGGAGCTAAAGGAGTAGCTGTATCGATGACTTCAATTAGTGGTGCGAGTACGAGCAAATCACAGAGCAATGGAACAGTAAATGCAAACTTGCCAAAGGAACAGAGAAGTACTGAGATCGTCAATGAGAAAAAACACGCAAGATGTGAAATCAGCGCAGGCTAGAAATGGGGGAAGATCCTGGGCAGGCTTGTTTCACGAGAACCAATTCGCAACTAAGGATATGAATTTATCCTACATTCCTCCAGTGATACAGGACGAAGAAGTTGTAGTACAATTGCTGGATGAGGACATTGCAGAGGAAAATCAGAAATGGAATTGAGCAATAATCTTGTACGCGGTGGGAAATACTCCAACTATTGGGGCAATTGAGCGATTCATAGCAAGCCAATGGAGTAAAGTCAGAAAACCTAAGGTACTCTTCCATAACGATGGGTATTTCATAATTTTGATGAACAACTGTGAAGAGAGGGATGAAGTGATACTGAATTGTCCATTTACTATGAATAGCAGACCAATCATACTTAGACCATGGACGGAAGGATTTGATTTCAATGAGGAAGTGCTTAAAACATGCCTCTATGGATCAAACTCCCTAAGCTACCACTTAACTATTGAAGTAACCGGGCCCTAAGCAAAATTGGGAGTCGTTTGGGAAAGCCTTTGTATGCTGATGCATGTACTACAATGGCTGATAGAGTCTCATATGCTAGGGTGTTAATTGAAATGGATATTACTAGGCCATTATTAGAGTCAATCAAATTATATGACCCTAAGGGAAAGGTGATCGAATAGGTGGTACAATATGATTGGAAGCCTCAGTATTGCCGGACATGTTGTCAAATAGGCCACTCGTGTAGATATCAAAAGAAGCAGAAGCAGGAGGGAGGACAACAAAGAGGTATTGACCAGAAACGAAAACAAGAATGGAGAATAGTGAGGGTGCTTGATCCCAATGTGGATAAAATTGATGCTTATGATAGATTCCTGAATCAAATGGAATCAAAAGGTGAAGAGGTGCCTATCCCGTAGGAAAATGAAGAGCAATGGCAACTTGCTAGAGGAAAGTCTGCATCAAAGAAGAATATGTGAGCCATAAGAGAGAATGAAATAGACATTGGCAATGCATTCAAAGCACTAGTTGATACTGCCTAGAAGATTGTGCAATTATCTAAAGCTCAGGGGGCAAGAGGGCAGCAGAGCAGAAGTGACAGAGGATGAGGCCCAAAAATAACTACTATATCATGATGAATATCATAACATGGAATGTTGAATAAAGTGTATAAGCAAAAAGAACTAAAAAATATTGCAGAGAGAATAATATGGTTTTAATGGCTGTTCTAGAAAATAGAGTCAAGGCAACTAATGTTGATCCAATAATGAAGAAGGTGTTTAGTAACTGGCAATGGGTAGCTAATTATGATGAGGCAGCAGGAGGCAGGATCTGGGTAGTATGGGACCAAACAAAGGTGGAATTTGAGGTTATTCGAGTATATGAACAATATATAGTAGGCAAGCGATTATGAGACAACACAGAATCAATTTCATCTTTGGTGCAGTCTATGAAATGCATACTATACAAGACATGATGATACTATGGGAGGATCTGAAGGGAACTATGAATGGAATCAATGGCCCAAGCTTAATAATGTGGGATTTTAATACTATTATGTCTATTGAGGATAGAGTGCAGGGGAATCCAGTACAAGAGATAGAGGTGAGAGATTTCAAAAACTTCATAATGGATACTAGATTAGATGAACTCAGAATAGTGAGGAGAAGTTCAAGTGGACAAACAATCATGTTCATAGTAGAATTGATAGAATATTGGTTAATGGAGAGTGGATTCAGAAATGGCTTGCCATGGAGGGGATCATTATGAACCCTGGGTTTTTAGATCATTGTCCTTTGAAAATAACCATTGATGATACTAAGCAAGAAGGTAGGCGGCCTTTCAAGTTTTTCAACTATTTGGCCAGCCACCAAAACTTTGATGAAATAGTTAAGCAATGCTGGAGAAAGAGGTACAGGGGAACTGCAATGCTAAATGTGTGGAATAAGCTCAAAATGCTAAAATGAGATCTAAAGCAGCTGAAAAACCAAGATTTTAACAGTATCGGACACAAGATTCAAGTAGCAAGGAGCAAATTAAAAGGCATTCAAGCTCAGATGACACTTCCAAGAAATGAAAATGAAGCAATACTACAAGAAAAGGTTGCTAAATTTGAGTTGGCAAAATGGTTGGAGGTGGAGGAAAGTGTGTTGAAGCAGAAGTCAAGAATCAAATGGCTTAAGCTAGGGGATTCTAACACAACATATTTCAATGCCTATGTGAAATACAGACAAACAAGTAATCATATTGGCAGATTAACTAACAGTGCAGGGCAAATCCTCCAAAGTGCTATTGAAGTAGAAAAGGACATATTGAGTTTCTACAAGAGTTAATACCCTAAAATCATCCTAAACTATCATGTTTTTGTCAGTTTCCTACTTAAACTATTCAGTGTCCCCAAAACTCCTTTGAACTATATCTCCCTAGTTACTAAAAACCTCTTCGTCGATTTTTTCTAGGTTTGTATGATGCATGCTCCCAATTAACTTTAAACTATGAGTTTACAACACGTGGCTACTTAGTCGAGCATAATTTAATTATTATTATACTTAATAATTTGAACTAATAATCAAAAATAAAAAATGGGTAAAAGCCTTTGTTCTTCCATCTCCTCCAACAATGGTTACCCCTTCTATCAATCTGGATTTTTACCATTAACCTTTGATTTCGATGTAGTTTTTTCACGCTAACCTTTGAATTCACTGTAGTTTTTGGTTTAGCCGGAGATTTGGGATTTAAAAAAGCTAGGGTTTGACAAGAAAGAGAAGTTATAGAGAAATAAATAAAGAAAAAATGAAGAAGAAAGGTAATTTCAGAAGAAATAAGAGAAGAGAAAAGTTTCAAATGGAACCCATAATAATAAGGAGAAAGGAAGAAGAAAGGTAAAAATATATGAAAAAAGCGGGTAAAAATAAAGAAAAAAAATTTGGAATAAAAAGAAAATAGAAAGGAAAAAGAAATTGAATATCTTAATGCTAATTAGCCGTTAGAAGTAGGTCAGGTGGGGCCATTAAACGAGTTATAGTTCAGGGGGATTACAGGGACACCGAATAGATTAAGTAGGAAACTGATAAAAACGTGATAGTTTAGAGGGATTTTAGGGTATTAACTCTTTCTACAAAAAACTTCTTGGTACAACAGCTTCACAAATGCCAGTAGTTATCCCAAAAATCATGCAAAATGGCTATATTTTGAACATGCAGCAACAACTGCAGCTAATCAAAGCCAGTTACTAGAGAGGAAGTGAAGAAAGCTATAGTAGACATTGATGATAATAAAACACTGGGATGTGATGGCTATAATTCTTTATTTTTCAAGAAGACATGGCACATACAGGGTGATGAGGTTACTACAGTAGTAATGGAGTTCTTTGAAACTACTAAAATGTGCAAAGCCATTAACTGCACCACTATTACCTTGATACCTAAAGTCAAGAACCCAACTAACATAAAGGAATTCATGCCTATTCTTGATGCACTGTGCTGTACAAGATAATATCAAAAGTCCTAACAACAAGATTACAAGAAGTTATGACAGACCTAATAGATAACTGCCAAACAACTTTTGTGCCAGGCAAAATGATTACTGATAACATTATCATGAGTCATGAATTGGTCAATGGTTATGGGAGGAAGAACATATCGCCAAGATGCATGCTCAAAATTGATATTCAGAAAACATATGACTCTGTGGAATGGGTATATATTGAACAAGTGATGAAGCTGTTGGGATTCCCTGAAAATTTTGTGAAGTAGATAATGGCGTGCATTAGTACAATTGCCTACTCTGTTATAATTATGGGAAGCCAGCTAAACCATTTGAGACAAGGAAAAGACTCAGGCAGGGGAATTCCCTATTGCCAGTATTATTTGTGATGGCCATGGAGTATTTGAGTAGACTACTGAAGCCTTTGAAGGAGAACAAGAAATTCAAATTTCACCCAAAATGTGCCAAAGTCAAACTAGTGCAATTGGGATTTGGTGATGATCTATTACTTTTCTGTAAAGGGGACATACAATCAGTCAAGATACTTTATCAACAATTTCAAGTATTTTCTGCAGCCTCAGGA